GAACCCAGTTGTTAGTTGATTGGCGGATCACTTTTCTGGAGGTAATGATTCCTTGAAAAAAAAATAAAAATTGGTCACTCAATCCACAGCTGTTTGTGGGACACTCTTGTGTATACAGTCAATTCAGTTCACAGTATATCCTGTGAAGCATTTTGAGACGTCTTGAAGGCGCTATATCAAATGCAAGGATTATTATTCTTATTATAATTATCTGAAGAGGCTGATCTGGACCAGTTCAGTTAGTTCTCTGGACAGGATCTTTACTGGTTCCAGATTCAGCAGGTTTTGGATGATTGTAGACCAGGAACATAGATTGATGAGAGAAAGCCCTAGTAGATCGCGTAACAGCGGGCAGCCTAGGGAATCTAAGTGGAAGCATAGTTAGGGAGTTAATGATCAAGAAACAAAGGTTAAGGTGTGTGATTTGAATGCTAATATTTGGCCTATGTACCAAAACAGCAGCAGCCACTGTAACAGGTAGCACACAATCTGGAAATAAAACTGGCTGTACCACAAAAGAAATCGGAGGCCATGGAGGTATCATTTCAGGAAGGGGAGGGCAATCAGGATGATCCTTGGTGCCTAGTGAAGGGGTGGCTTCAGGAAAAGTTCGTCCACAAGCGTCTGCTCATTCTGTCGCCTGGGGAACAGTGCTTGGCAACCGAAACAGCAATGAGGAGAGGAAAATAACAAAGCAGGATTTCATTTTCTATAAACAACCCAAAGGCAAATTCTGGAGGAGTGAAATCTGGCATAAGGTGGATCAGACATTTAGGTTTTCATTTCAAATTCCCCCAAAAGTAGGAATTAACGAAAGTTACAGCACAGAAACAGGCCATTCAGCCCATCGAGTCTGTGCTAGTACATTGCTCCACGAGAACCAGCTAATCTAATCCTCCCCTTGCTCACTCAGCCCTATGCCATGCAATAGTCCTCCTTGCTGACATACTTGTGGGTATGTGCACACACAATCTTGCGCACTGTGATGGAGTCGGTGCACCTATCTTGTTGAATTATGCTTGAAGATGTCTGTATAGAAATTAGAGCTGAGGTCTCACTTAAAAATAATTCATTGACATTTTCAGACATAGTAATATGATCTGTCTCGGAAGAGTGACACCTCTACATCTATAACACACATTATTGTGTCTTATACTCTTAGAGTCCATGTTCTACAAGAATATTATCTTGGTAATGGTGCCCCTGCATCAAGGTTCAGCCCAAGAAGTCCTGTAAGTTAAAGGCCTGCATTCCCCCTTGCTTTAATGTTGTTCTTTTCTTACTGGGGTTACATCGACTTTCTTACTTTCACAGAGATTGCTTCATAAAGGATTGAAACCATCTGAGGCAAGCACACAGAACAGAATTCAGGGCAGTGCTATTTCTAGGACTGTGGCAGCCAGAAACTTCACTTCATCCAATATTTATCACTGCGTGGTAGCTGACAGTGCGCGTCTGAGGCAAAGAGAGGTTGTCTTTCTCCAAATTCATAGCTTTGCCTAATATAATCGTGGCTGAAGCAGATTTGCTTGATGACGACATTTTTTCACTGATAAGTCATATTTCACAAGGTTGCCTGCTGACAGAATGCACACCACAGCTTGAAAGGCCCTATTCCTGCATTATACATACATAGCTTTTCACTCCACAGAAATGTGGCCGGAATATAAATACCGAAGTAACAGTGGCCTGTTTTCCAATTTCATGTGAAATGTTGCCATGCTCATAAAATATGTATTGCCTTTTCAATGTCATTGCAGTTAGTTATATCTGTGAGATTTTTGAGAAGTCTCCTCTCTGGTACGTTACAGAAATGATGAATTAACTAATAGAATGAGATAAAAGCCAAATAGATATGGATTGTCGAGATTCCTTCTTTGTCGTTCTGACTAGCATCAAATATTAATAGATAAATATTTATGTCTCATGCTGGAAACAAAAGCATGTATTTTAATGCTATCTTCCTTACTCCGTGGCAGATAACACCTATGAAATATAATCTTATTTTCATTACTGCTTCACATTATAATTTACTTATTAAACTCTGAAAGTCCCAATTCTCTGTGTTTCGTAGTTTGTGATATTTATCTCACTTGGTATTTAATATATTAAACTTTGTTATCTATGAACCAGACTTCACAAAGGGCTAGCACGGGTCTCCTGTAAGGAATGTCAGAGGATTCAATAATAGGGGGTTGGTATGTAAATATAACTGAGTTTCATCCAGGAGTCTTTAAGATGGATGGCTCTTACTATATACAGTGCTTTCACTGAGCTGACTTTCAAATGTATCATAAAGCAATGACTTCCAGTTTCCTACTTTATCTGAAGCACTACTATGAGCTAAACTATCATTCACCATGTGCAGACTGGCCACCTACAGCCTTTGTAGCTCGATTTGTGTAAAAAAAAAGTTTGGTCACTCAATCCATGATTGTTTGTGCGACACTGCTGTGCACAATTGGCTGATGCATTTCGCCCACAAAATATACAGTCAATCCACTTTGCAATATATTCTGTGAAGCCTTTAAGACTTCTCAATGACGGAATAAGGCAAGTATTATTATCATAGATTGGAGTATTTCTACACTCCTACGCAGGCTTTTCTTTTATCTCTTTACAATATGTCTTGACTTTATCCTCTTTAATATTTGCTTCATTTAACATCTCTTATTTTGATTGATTGAAGGCTACAATGGAAAAGTTAGCCTCTCTCTGGCAGCAATCATCCCACACAAATGAGTTTGGGGGGTTTCAACACAAGTACTTAGTACAATCTGACAGTAATTTACCTATAATTGGGAAAAAGAGAAGGCTGGCTATTGAGGAAGGTAAGGATTCCTCTTGTGAGGCTGAGGCCGAGGTATATAACGTTGGGACAGAGCACAGGGATCTTTACTCTGCTATACTGTGCTATACATGAACAGGATGTGATTCTATCTGAATACTGAATGCAAGCAGTAGGAACATGTTTTTGGTCTCGAAAACCATTGTTCTCCACCATCACCTCCTCCGTGCACCCCCTCAATCTGCCTCCATCCTCACTTCAAATGCCAAGTGCGAAGAGGTCCCAGAATTCTTTGTGTCACAGATTGAAAATATCGGCTTGGACGCATCCTCCTCCCCTATGTCCCCTTCCGCATACCCCAGACCATCTACACCAACGCTCCTTCCGCCATGGCCCCTACCTCTCCCCCTTTCCTACACTGCTTCACCCCGATTTCTCCCCCATTGTGCTTAACCACCTTCTCCCAGATGAAACCCACCACCTGATGCCTCGACCCGCACTCCACCCAATTGCTGATAACCCAATTCCACCATCTCTCCTTCCTCAGCTACCTTAGTGGGACTGCACTAGCCTGCTTCCTCAGTTTAATGCTCCCTCTTGGCGATGTCATCCGCAGACTTCCACATGTATGCCGAAGACACACAAATCTACTTCTCCTCCTCCAGCTGCGACTCATTGGCTCCCATCAATGTCTTCTATCCTGAGTCTCTGACCTCCTCAACCCCTCCAGTCTATCCCGCTGACTCAGTGAACCGGTGTACAACCTAGGCATCAGGTTCCATCCACAACTGTCTTTCCTTCCCCATATCCAGTCCCTGACTAGGACCACCTTCCTCCAACCGTACATTACCCCAGATGCAGCTGAAACACTCCATGCATTCGTAACTTTCAGACTTTTCAAATGCTCTCTGCGTCGGTCTCCCCAGCTCCACCATGCACAGGATTCAGCTGATACAAAATTCTGCCACCAGCACACTCATCCATGCTAAACTCCGCACCCCCATCACACCAGTTCTAGCCAGGCACCACTGGCTCCCTATTGCCAAGCGGATCGATTTCAAGATCCTCACACTCGTTTACAAATCCCTTCGTGCCCTGGCACCTTCTTACCTGTTCGACCTGCTTACCCTCTAACATGCCCTCCGTTTCACCATCTGCGGCCATACTTTTATAATAATAATAGCCACTATGCCCGGAAACTCTGGAACACTCTTTCTCTATCCCTCCGCCTTGCCCCTTCCTTCCCCATCTTCAGGTCTCACCTGAAACCCTTCCTGTTCGACTGTGCCTATAGTTACCTCCCCCTCCCCTGGCTCGGCGTCATGCTCTGCCACTGCCAAGCGCTCTGGGACTCTACCCTGCATGAGGGGCACTATATAAATGCAAGTTGTTCTTGTTGTTGTGGTTCCATTACTGGTATCTTCACAGTGATTATGTAATTTAGATTTGACTTCTTTACACAGAGTGTACAGTTTGTCCAGTGAGGCAATGGAGGTAGACAGTTCAGGTGGTTTCAAGAGGAATTTGGATATATTTTGACAATGAAAGTGGTTGGAAGTGTCTAAGCTAAATGCATGTTATATTTGAAAATGGGATTTGTCTGATGGACTGAAGTGGTTTTTTCCAGTCCTGTATATTGTTCCAATGCCAACATTTATCTGAAGACTAGAGAAACAAAGTGAAGTAGACTTGGAGATAAACTATCTGATCAGCAAGTCCTGAGACACAGATAACAGCATGTGGAACATTGGTAAAAACAGGATTGGCAGCTTGTCGGATCCTCCTCCAGTTGGAGAATGGTGTAGGCGTGAAAGAGAATAAATGTGTAGAATAAGTGTTCCATTCAGAACACATAGAATTTGTTTTACATTTCTTCATTAAGAATGCATATCCAGGGCAACTCATTTAACTTGTATAATATGCTATTGGGAAGCTTCAGTTACAAACATAATTTGCATGTGGTTTAGTTGTACTTTGTCATTAACAATCTCTTCAACCATAGCGCAGAATGCAGTTATTGAAACTGTTTTGAAAATTCGTGAATAGCAAATAATAAACCGATTGAAAAGCCTAAATGAATTGACATTCAATTTTGCCTAAGTTTAATAAAATACTTCCCACAAGCGATGCTGGTTGTAGCACAGTGCTACAGATTGCCACCTATTACGATGACAATGCTATGGTTAACGTACTGTCTCTGCTTTGCCATCAGGTCATCAGGTCAAACAGGGCACGTGTGAAGTTGTTGCTATCCATCGATGCTGCAACAAGAACAAAATCGAGGAACGGTCACAAACAGTCAAGTGCTCTTGTTTTCCAGGGCAAGTTGCTGGTACGACTCGGGCTCAGCCTTCGTGTGTTGAAGGTAAGGAAAAGGTGATTCCAGCATCGTGCTTGTATCTGTGTCCAGCACTGATGCTTTGTGCTCAAATCTGTTATACATTTTTGTTTGAACACAGATTTTGCGCCAACTGAAACGTTGTGACATTTTTTTTCATCTCAGAGGAATTAAAAATGGAAAGATCTGCAGCAAAGTGCTGTAAAGCTATATTTGATTCCCGTAACGCTTCTTAATGTAAATTGAATTAAAAAGGAGCCAAGGATGGGACAGCCACATCTGTAAAAGCCAGTATAACATAATGACATTTAGGGAACTCAGTATGGATCTATTAAACAACAACAACAACTTGGATTTATATAGCGGCCTCCACGCCGGACGCCGTCTCAGAGCACTTTAGAGTAATGGATCCCGGGGCCGAGCCAGGGGGAGGGGGAGGCGGGGCGGAAGGTGACCAAAGGTGCGGTCGAAAAGAAAGGTCTTCAGCAGAGACCTGAAAATGGGAAGGGAAGGAGCGAGATGAAGGGAGTGAGGAAGGCAGTTCCAGAGCCTCGGGGAATAGTGGCTGAAGGCACGGCCGCCGAGGGTGGAGCGGAGGACTCGGGGGACGAGGAGGAGGCCAGACCCGGAGGAACGAAGGGAACAGGTACTGTTTTGAGGAGAGAGGAGATCAGAGAGGTAGGGGGGGTGCAGAGGAGTGGAGGGATTTGAATACAAGGGTGAGGATCTTGAAATCGATCCTCTCTGGGATAGGCAGCCAGTGCAGTCTGGCAAGGACTGGGGTGATCGGGGAGCGGAGTTTTGTGCGGGTGAGAATGCGGGTGGCAGAGGTTTGAATGATTTGGATTTTATGGATGGTAGTGGATGGAGACCGGCGAGGAGGACGTTAGAGTAGTCCAGCCGAGTAAAGCACTGATATATAGACTGACAATATGGTGTTTCCACACAATGAGTTACTGATTTCAGTTGATTATCTTGTGGAAGCTGTTGATCCCTGAACAGCCATTTACAGATCAATGTGTGCACGTTTGCCCCAGAATCTGTCTCTCGATTGGTGTGACATATTTGAAAGGCTTCAAGAGGATTGAAGACTGAAAGATCAAAACGTTAGCAGTATCTTTAAAAAAAATGTGGAGCAGCTCTTACACTGTCTCGATTTTCCTCCGACCAATTCTTCAGTCTATTATACATGTTATATATACATATGTTAACCTGAAACCTGGGGTTACGGCTCCAATGTTTGTTTGTTACTTCAAATAAGGAAAAGGAAACTTTAATATTGGTATTATTATAGTAAATTATTATTATTATTAAATAGCTAATGTAGCTAGGCCATATCTTGCCCGCTTCAGGTATACGAAAAACAAGTGGCATAGGAAATAACTGTCTCCAACATTAAAATTCTGTGTCCTGCTGTTTTTATATTTTGTGCAGTAAATCCTGACTGTTTTGATGTGGAAGCCTTAATCGTACACAAGATTTATGTCCCAAATATAATTTCAGCTCCAGCTTGTACATTTGAACTGTGAATGCACTCTGCTAATATCAGAGGGGATTCAGTTTGATCCTTAGCTTATGATTTACCTGCTTAAAGTGACATGAAGATAAATTTGATCTAAAACATCTGTTTATGGAATGTACTGCAGTTTTGAAGGAGAATTCCTGGAGTCACAAATATACATACTGTCATCAGCCTAGTTACTGGTAACACATGCATTGAATCAGTAATTCCATTGAGGCTATTGGCTCCCATTTAAGTAGACAGTAGCTGGAGATATGGTTCCTCAGTGTCCAGTCAAGTATTGGTTATATTGGCTTTACCTTGATCTGTATTGGATGTGTTTATGTGTTGTACGAAACTTGAAGGCCAACAATGAAAGAGATTATTGAGTAAAAATTACACACTTGTTCTCAGCCTCTATAATCCTTGCAGCCACAGCATTAATTGGAACTGCCCTGTGATAGATGTGCTAAAGTAACATTAAAGTGGGTCATAAGATTGAGAAGTATGACAGCAAGATGCTCCCAGTGTCCAACCAGTTTCCAGCTGCTAATCATTAGAAGATATGAACCAGATGTTAACCAGAGTTGTGGGTCTAGGTGTCTCAATAAAATGCAATTGGTTTTACATCACAACATTTTTCATTTCAATAACATAATGAGACAAGAACAAAAAGGAATAGTTTAAGTCCATTCGCAAATGAACTTGAAAACAAATCATTGTCTTAATGGTTCATCTTTTTCTTTGCATTTATATTGAATTTCAGAATTAACAGGAAATTTAACAAATATCAAATCAAATCAACATGCTTTCCTCAGAGTATTTAGGTTTTAATAATACATTTGTTTTAATTGGAAATCCCTGACAAGAGTTACGTAAAGTAAAATTGGTCAACTATAAAACAGCTTCTTTTTCATAGAATTTGCTAGTGTGTGTGTGTTGAATGTGTGAAAATATTGGTTTTAATTAATAAAACGTGCTTACGTGAGTTTATTTTCCTGAGAAAATAGTGATGGTTTCAGGGGGGAATTCCTGGGGAAGCCTTGAAATGGATTTTCTATGTCTGTATATGACATTATCATGCTTTATTTTCAATTAGGAAATAGATTTTTCTGTCCTTTAAAAAGAAAGATAATATCTTTTAATATTCTCTTTAATCTGAAAGTACTGTATTCCAATCAGAGTCTAATTTCATTCCTTTTAGATCACAGAGAATGGTATATCTGTTCCACAAAGGAACCCATCAGTGGTAATCGGTGTGTTATTGTGAGCATGGCTTCAGTTGCCCTTAAAAGTTAAGCATTTCAAAAGGCAGGCACTTCTGAAATATCTGGCAGATTAATGTCAAACACCTTTTAAAGCAGTTGGTACAGAGTCAAAATATTTGCCTCTTCTGCAATCCATAATGTTTTTCTGTCTCAATATCTCTAACCCAGTACGGCAATACTGCACACACAAAACCATACGGAACATTTGCCAGCTAAAAGTGAGGTGATAAGTAGCGTAAACCTGATTGCTAATGGTGGAAATCCAAAATGTCATGAGGAAATGGTTAGTGAAAACTTCAATGTGATTCATTACCACCTGAAGTCCACAAACTGCACACCAGTAAAAATGGATCGATTTCAGCAATCAGTAACAATACTAACCTGGTCATCAGTCAAAAAGCTACAAACACGTAAGTTAGGATAATCCAAACCAATTGCTGACTTTATAAACTATTACCAATCAAGTATTTTTCTTGTAGATTTGTGAACCTTGTATTGGAAGTGTTGGGAAGCCACTGATGTATTGAGATCTGAGCCTTCTTCAGTGATAGCAATTGTCTGGAACTATGTGCAGCAATTAGTACTATTACAAAACTGCTCTTTTGTGTTTGAGACTTGAAATCAAATCTAGGCTTGAGAAAAGGATGAATGATAAACAAATTAGTTTGTTAACGTGGACAATGCACACGGTTCATGAGATGTACTCCAGTGTTTTCTTTGTGTGTAATGAAAGTCTGCTTGGTTTTATTTGCCCCCACTCCCCAGTTGGAGGAAAACTGGGTCAGATAATTGCAGAGATACTGAACTAGAGTCGAAATTTCGGGAGCTGAATGTTGCAGGAGCTAATGTCAGTTTTTTTATGCCTTTATGCCTAGTCCATGCTTTAGATTCCAGTAAACTGTATTAGCCTGTGTTACCCTGTTAATTATTTTAATTTAGCTGAGATAAATTTCGATCGTCATCCCACATACTTCTTATTCACAAAAACAGAAGTGGCTGGGAACACTCAGCAGGTGAGGCAGCATCTACAGAGAAAGGAAAGTGAGTCAACGTTTCAGGTCCACGACCCTTCATCAGAACTGTGGCATTTTGGGAGGGAGAGGCTTTCAAGGACTAACAGAGAAGGGGGAGTCAGGGGCAAGGAAGCCAAAGACGAAAATGGAGTAGAGTACAGGAGATGATGGGTTAAAGAGGGGTGGGGGGTTACAACAAAACAGGGGAATAGAGGTGTTAATACTGCAGAACCAAAAAAAGGGGGGGGGGAAAGAACTTGCAACAAAACAGCCCCATCCTCTTTATTCTGCATCATTAACACCTCTTTAACCCATCATCTCCTGACCTCTACCCCATTTTTTCCTTTGTCTTCCTTGCCCTTCCTCCCCCTTCTCTGTTAGTTCTTAAAAACCTCCTTAAAAACCTCTCCCTCCCGACATGCCCCAGTTCTGATGAAGGGTCGTGGACCCAAAACGTTGACTCACTTTCCTTTCTCCGTAGATGCTGCCTGACCCGCTGAGTGTTCCCAGCGACTACTGTTTTGGTTTTCAGATTTCCAGCATCTGCAGTATTTTGTGTTTTGTTTTACTTCTTAAATATTTCAGGCCCGTATTGTTTCAAAGTAATATTTTTGAGTTGCTGTCCTTCTTGCCAATCCTCAGGAGCACTTAGATTGAGCATAGTAAGAATCTTACACTTTCCTTTTGTGATGCATGAAATTGACGAGTTTTATGACTGTCTTGCTTGCTTTGATTAGATGGTAGAACTGTTTTTTTTATATATAAAACGCAGCATATCACCATTCCACTCTGCAGCACTCTGAAATTGAAATCCATAGAACCATTTCACTCTATAGACTCTGAAATTAGCAGTAAATCTGTGGCCTTTCTCAGTGAGCATGTTAGAATTGAGTGAGTATGTATAAGGGGGGGAGGTAGCTAAAGGCACAGTCTATGCACTTACAGTTATATATGAAACATATTAAAATGCACAGATCCATTTTGTGCAGCAGGAGCACTGCTCACATTTCAAATCCTTGCTTAACATACACAGCCAGTGTGAAATGAAGAGTAATGGCTGTCTGTCTCTTAAAATATGTCACTCTGTAAGTAGAATAAGTAGTCTTGAGGGACGGCTTCACTCAGCCTCTGAGCAAAAATCCCCTATTTTAGCCCAAGAGGACAATGTTGTGATGCCAACTTTATTGAGGCAATTAACCAGAGGTGAACAGTAACTATCGTCAAAGAATAGCTCCACAAGCTAAT